CTATAGAGATCCAGAGTAATGGAGAAATATTAAGTTCATCTATTTCATTATGAAAACAGGACAGTTGTACAAAAAACTTTGTATGATATTTGTGTTAAAAGTAAGTTTTATTTTGTTCGTGAAATTGCTCAACTCGCTACGTTCGTTTCGCAAACTTTTTCACTCACAAAATAAAACCTTACTTTCAACACTCATATCATAAATAGCTATTACAAGTGCTATACGCTTTTCACAGAAGGTCGAGAAAATGTGAATGACGACGCTCGCTCTAGACGCTCCAGCATATCAACAACCGATGAAAATGTTGAGAAAGTGAAGAAAACTTTAATGGAGAATTGTCAAATCAGTGTTAGGTTGCTTGAGGATATCGGCATGTCGATTGGCTTATGCCGTGTAAATGTTTTGAAAACTTTGAGCGTGAAGCGTGTTTCGACAAAGTTCGTTCCCAAATTGCTGAATTTTGCCTGGAAAAACCGTCGCATGAGCATCGCTTAGGAATTGTTGAATGACGTTAACGGCGATCCAGATTTGTTTTGAAGGGTCATAACTGGCGAGAAATGATGGTTATATGGTAAAAAATTCTTACGGTGCCCTCTATTTATAAATTAATACTGTTGACTTACATTTTCAAGAATCTAAACAGCTTTTGAAGGCATTGCGATTTTCACATGTATGACACCAGAAACGAAAGAAATATTTTACCGAAGAAAATGTGTCACTCCATGCAAAAAAAGCTCCAGTGGATACTGGAATAACTCTATTCAACATTTTGCCCCTAGAATTGAGAGACAGAGCAGATGTCCAGTACTGACCTTCTCATGCTTCTCCGTATATTGCTTTATCTTTGTGATGGTCTTGTGATTTTTCACAGGCGGTGAAGTATGCATCACTGAAATACCCGATTCAAATTCGGTTTTTGACTCGCTGTTTCATAGCATTCAAGAATATAATCTTTATTTTAACCATTATTTGTGTTTGTCATTTTAATTGTACATATTTATTGGACACAATTTAATTTGTGAACACGGACTAATCCGATCTATTTACTGTTAATTTGAATTTGAATTCGAATATGACATCCAAACCAAAATCCAAAGAAAGTTTAAGACTAATGGATTTTTTGGTTTGATAAATGTCATACCTTCACATAAATCTAATTTTTCAATGGGCATGATGATTTGATAATCTTTGACTCTGAAGGGAAAGTTGATTGATACAATTTTCATTATTATCATTATGTTTTTTGGTGTAGTTTCAGTAAGTTACTGTATATACTACTGAGATTATCAATATCAGTTCTCTTGATCATGATTATCAATATCAGTTCTCTTATTCATGATAATCTCAGCAGTATATACAGTAACTTACTGGAACTACACCAAAAAACATAATGATAATAATGAAAATTGTATCAATCAACTTTCCCTTTAGAGTCAAAGATTATCAAATCATCATGCCCACTGAAAAATTAGATTTATGTGAAGGTATGAAATTTGTCAAACCAAAAAAATCCATTAATGTTTAACTTTCTTTCGTCGATTTATATGTTCAATTTATTGTCTTTTACTCATTTTTACTGTAAGTATGATTTGTAATGTTATTCATTGGCAAAAAACCCACAATTCAATAAATTATAGGCCTTGAAGAAGCTTCCCACTAGAAGCGAA